ATGAATAGTTAATCACACTGACTAGCCAGCCTGGCCACCATTATTACTAAAAAACCCTTTAAAATGTAGTTTTTGGAGTCTCTGACTTTTTTGAAATGGAGACTTCAAGCATTTTCCCAGGCAGATTATTCTGCTGATTCTTGGCAGTGATGGAGAAGGGACAGCAGCATCAGAATGATGGATACAGGCTTTAGTACTCCACTACCCTGAGAGCAAATCACCAAACTGGGGCATTCAGGAAACATCCTGAAGACATTGTGACCTGTCCTCGGGGCAGGGCTTGGGCAAGGTGAGAGCTACAACTCAGTTTGGGAGGAAAACAAAATCAACAGGTCTTGTTTTCTTCATTTCCTCGCCAGGAGGGGTAAAAGGAAGGCTTTAACCACTTTGTGTGTGCCATTTGTGAGACTACCTAATATGGGCTCATTCTACTGCAATGAAATGGATGAAGGATTGGAATTTGAACTACTTTGAAGAAAAAGCACAGGGGAGTGTTGAAAGCCTATCCATTTCTTCAAACACCTGAATGCATTTGGGTGCCATTCTCTGCAGGGTTAGTTCCTATTGACTACCCAGCCGGGCTTGGCATCCTCACAGAAGTAAAAGCATCTTTGTTTTAAATTAATTTGCGTGACTTTAGAGATGCCTAAAGTGAAAATGCTTTAGCAAGGCAAAAGCAAATGCATCTTAGTTTCAAAACTGAAAACAAATAAAACAGGAAAGTACCAAAAGAAAACAACATTAGCTCATACCTGACCTTAAAACTCTGTCACACTTTGCAGAACAGGATAATTCATTTGCCTTCTGCCCCTTGTGTATTAACAGTGAACTTTTTGCCTGGCTTCTGTTCATCATTTTTAGTTGGGTGTTTCCTTATTTTTGAAGTCTTTCCTAATTCAGGTACCTCCCTAATGCTGGTCAGGATTCTTGAAACTTATCTGGGAATAACTATTCTTTTGATGTGCAAATAGAATACTCAAAATAATGTTTTTTTCTATCCATTAAACCATTTTCCTGAAGAATTAATGGAATTGCAGTCATCTAATTGCAACAAGATTGCAAATCATCTATCATAGCACTTTCTCTCTTGTGACATGGCATTGTCTTTTGGTTGGAGTTTACTCTTAGCTGCAAAAAGCAGCAGTATTTTCAAGTATGGACAATTTGATGTCAACTTTAAACCAAATCTCAAGCTGACAGGACCGGGAGATCTCCAACACAGAATTGCATTGTGTGGCTCTTATCAGTCACAACTCACATTTTACGGAAAAAATTCTACTAAGTTCAGTAAGATTTCTATCACAGGTACAGTACATACAGAAGATGTTGCAATCCAGGCTGGTTTTGTGGCTTATTGGAACTTACCTGGGACACAATGGTTTGCCACAGGTGAGTTGCACCATGATCCTTGCCTAAGGTTCTGCCCTGATGGGTTGTTGTTGCTACCATTCACTCACACATACCTGAAGTGAAACCTTGTGAATTATGAAACAGTACTGAGAACCCTTTAGCTCCTTTTAGCACAGTCATTGCTTGGCTACAGAAAATTATTTGTGTGGTTTGGTTCTTCCATTTGGCTTGCTGGGGCGCTACACACCCAATAGATATTCCCAGATAATCTAAAAAATAAGTATGAGTCAAAACATCTCACACAACCTCATTTCTGAAGCCTTCAGTATTGGCATTAAGGGACTCATAAAGTTTGAGTCCTCTAAGATAAACCTTCAAGGATGACATCCTGGCTCCACTGAAGCTGATGGCTGAGCTCCAAGTGACCTCACTGGGGACAGGAGCTCACCTTGGACACTTGCCTTCGTGTGACTCTTTCTGAAAATGGCATTTCACTTTGAAAGGCTTTTTGTTTCAGAAAGATGAGCGTAGCTGGTCTCTATCTCTATGCCTTAGTGGATATTTGCAGCAATAAAACATCATCACTGAGAGCTCGGAGGTAAGGGAGGGTACAATGGTTTAGGCACAAGGCTAAGGGAAAGCAGGTCCAAATACCTGCTACTCGTGCTAACACACTTTATTTCCTTCATTAGGCAGACAGGAGTGGGTAACAAGATGCATCAGTTGTGTTTAAATCCCTGTCAAGTGATGCTAATGGTCTTCATGGGGATTTAAACCCCAGGTGATGTGGAATGTGTACAATCTAACCTGTGTCACTGTAAATTCTACAATAAAAGTCGGCGTACAAGTCCTCCCTATCTCTGTGTTACCTCCCAAGCACAGGGGTCTTACAGCAGCAAAATCTCCCATGAGCTTTCCTGTAAAAAATGAGCAAAAAGAAAAGAGGTAAGTTTTATTTATCAGTAATGCTGTCTTTAGACCCACTACCTGAGTCCTTTCCATATAAAATCTCAACACAATTTCCTGCAAGTTACAGGTTCTCAGCATTTCTTGGCAAATCTGGCCTCTGGTATGAGGCAGCAGCCCTTTCCCAACCCTCCTGCACGGAATCTACAAAACCTCTGCTGACACTACATGGAGGCTAAAAGCCACAGAAATTGTGTTTGTCTTCACTTTGCTGTAAATCAAAACAAATCTTTCATGTGAAAACCAAGTGTAGGGAGCAATTCATACTTTGTCTCTTCAAATATCCCTTGGAAGACGAGCCCTAATAGCAAGTGAATGATATATCAATTCCTTGAAAACCCAGGTTTCTTGGTTACTGTCTCTTATTCTTTTTTTTTTTCCTTTAAAATAATTGTGTTTTCCCTCTACCACTTTCCATTGATTTCTGCTCTCCCCTGTTGACAAATTTATTCTGTATACTCTGCTAACAAGAGCCTTTATTTCCCTACCCAGCTACAGTATAAACTTTCCCTTCAACTCTTCAATTCTCTCCTGAACCTCCTCCTATCAAGCAAGCTGACCTGAAAACCAAGTTATTTGCCTAAATCATATTTTAATATGAAAAACTGACTCTCTACTAAGAGGATGGGATATCAGCCACCCAGAATTACACTGATCCAAACTCTGTTAGAGTGGCAAACCTTCTGAGAATGAGGAGATAGTGCTCAGTTATTTGCACACACAGTGCTGTAGAAACTGGCCATGCAATTCAGTGTCTTTCAGCAGATAAATCCTGCTATGACTGAATGACAGAACTCTTGATATACCTCACTGACTCAAAGTAAACAACTCACATAACTGGAAGAAAAAGAAGTCATTAAATTGCAAGCCTTCACTTTAACAAGCATGTTAAAGTCTCATAACACACTTGAGAGCTTCCCATCTAATCCTGCATTGTTGTATTGTGTTATTTGGTCTGTTCCTGTTTTCCCCCTCTGCTCATGGTTTCACACTAAGTTGCCTCCCCTTCCCAAAGTGTCAATCCCATCCCCACTCCTCCCAAATCCCTGGAAACTTTTACCATTTGCCACTCTGAAATATTGCACCAAGTCCTTTGGCTACTTTTTCTATATTCTGCTTTTAATTCACATTTTGAGTAACAACAGCAGTTACCCCAACCTTGCTAGCAACCCTAGATTTATTACCAGCTTTGTTTTCTTTTAGGCTTCCTTCTTTTCACAGCACCTTCTGTACTGTCCTTCATACGTGAATGGCTACAGTTCCTCTAAACCAAGTCCTCTCATCCTCCACCTGTCAAATCTCTCATATGCCACAGCATTTCCTGAGGTTAATTTAGAAGCAAAAAAGCATAGTCTTCATTTGTACAGAACTGCAAAGAGTTATTTAAAAAAACCCAACCCAACCAACCAAAAAAAAAAATCCCCACAACTGAAATTCAAATCACCTCTTAAGGTTTTTTAGTGTAACAAACCTGTCTTCCATAACTTGCTCAGCTGGAGCCCTTTGAAATCACTCATTGCAGGCTCATGCTGTTAAGGCACAGGAGCAAAGGAAGACAAAAATGGGTTATTTGTCAGGTTTGGTTTAGCCTATTAGAAACTTTAAGCAAGAAAATTTATTATGTCTGAAGACTGAGTAGGACTACTCTGGCACCAACCTGTCTGCTAATCTTTTAGGACATGTAATTGTGTCTTTGAATATAAAATCGACAGCATTCAAATTTTATTTATATGTATTTCACTTGCTCACCCTTCCTTTATAATTTCAGCAGATATTGCTGTCCACTGTGTAATTTCCTCTTGGGTTGTATCTGCTTATGCCAGTGGCAATGGTTACTCATTACACACTTAATGGGGCTTACAGAACACATCATTGCAGTGTCCCTCCTCACTATTTATATTTCATAAGCCTCTTTTAAGCTCAAAATATAACTAGTAGCACAATTAGTTGCATAATTAGTGTAATCTATTTCATTGGTTTAAGTGGGAGTTTGATAGGAAATTCTGCTCCTGTCAGTCTTCAGAATTAGATACCAAAATTCATACATGCCAAGATGGTTTTCTTCTCATAAACTCTGCACCAAAAAGAAGAAAAAAAAATTGATTGGAGTATTGTATAGATACAAAAATAAAGTAAAAACAAACCACAAAAATCCTATGCTGGAATCCAAACCTCCAAAAAGAGAGATTAAGCAAGTAAGGGCGAGAAAGCATTTATGAATTTACATTTTACAAGCTTATGGCATGAAAGAGTGAATTTATGCCAAAATTTCTATATGATGTCAGTACAGAAAAGCGCTTTCAGAATAAAAGCAGGCTAACGCTGTTCCTTTAGCTTTTCAAACAACAAGGCCATTTTCAAATTTGGCTATGTACAAACCCATACACATGATCTTCAATTTTTCATTCACTTCACACAGTGAAGGGTCCTTCATTTTCTCAGACCATGATTGTACCACTGAGGATCCAACCTCAAGCATCGTATTTCAGCACAAACTATTTCAAGACAGGCACATTCCTCGTTGTTGTTGTGCAATCTGGAAAGCTGCTGTTTTATATTATTTACAGAACTGTACTGAAATATATTCAACTATAGGGCTACCCTGAGGTCAGAATTAAAGAACCATACACAGATGACAGTATCTCGATGTATGCTGTAGTATAATAGTGAAAATTAACTCAGGCTATTAAAAAAAATTTTATTCTTTTCCATGAAAGATTGGTACTACAACCAATATAACCATTTAATCAGTCAAGTATGTTTGTTATAGGCAGGCACAATATTACAAAACAGGCAAGTACAATGCCTGATTAAGCGAATACAGTCTGAATATCTATTCATCCACTATTTCTGAAAACAGAATTATCAAATATCCACCAGGGAAAAGGATGAACTATTTTAGTTTCTCTTTGGCATACTTATCAGGACAATGAATCAATTACAAAAGTCTTCTATTGCTGCCAGTGCTGAGAAGTAAAAAGGACTGAGTGGAAGGTTTTACATCAGAACTCGCTTTTAGGACTTGGGCAACCTGGCTCCCATAGCCAAACTGGTGACAAATGACAGTTCAGCTGCCAACGCTTCACGAGGCAGACAAGGATTACGTTGTTTTACATTGCAGATTTGTTCAAGGTATCAAAAAGAGTTACAGTAAATTTATGCACAGTACATACATATTACACACAGTTATATAAATACCCATGCTGCGGCTGGACATGAGGAAGTTGCTTTACCAACACGAAAGCTCAGGATCAGACCTCCCACCAGCCACTTGATACACATTGCACTTCTCATCCAGTAATATGTTCATTTCTGTACCTCTCTTAAAAATAGATTTAAAGCAGAAGTGAAGAATAATATTGAATCTTTCCATAAACTTTGTTTTCTTATTTACACTGTAATATTCCATTATACATAAAGACTGCGTAACGATACGTTATCTTCATATAGCTTTTTGCAATACATACAGCTTTGAGCTATTAACATCTGGGTTGGGAACACAGATATGACCTATAAGACTATTCAAAAACAATTTGAGCCTTAATTTTGCTCTAGTTTGTTTCACTGAAACCATTCTTTGAACAAAAAAAAAAAATCCTCCTTACTGGAGAGGAAAAAAAACAACTCATGTTTAAATCACCTCTGGATTTCCTTAAACTACTAAGAAACTTAGAAACCATAATAATTTTTTGCATAATTATAAAGCCACTTCAAAGGCCTTTTAAATTTAGAATATGAATGACAATTGTGACCATATCTTTAAATCATTTTTTCTTAACTTTTGGTTATCTTTCAACACAGAAAAATGAAAATGCAATCAGTAATCATACATGATCTTTGCACAACTGGGGAGCGTTCCTATTTTATTTGTGGGACAAATGAACATGCACATAACCCCCATTCACAGAGTGAGAACATAAACTACAGCAGCACTTGTCTCAAGTTGTGGTGCACATGGTTGCAATACAGAGTATAAAACAAAAGCAGAATTTCCAACATCTGTTGAAACACAAAAAAAAAAAAACCTCCTTATTGTACAAAGAGTCATTCACATTCTCTGCAATGAAGTGAAGAATCAGCTGCTTTCTGGACTCTCCAGCCTGCAAACTCCTCCTTCTATTGCCACGGACTGTCCTGCCACAGCTCCAGGAGGAAGTCTTGAAATGTGAGTCTGTGGAAAAGTCAAGAGAATATTATGGATTGTGAAAAGGCAAAGTTATGCAGGACAAAGTAAGTTTGTAAGTATTGAACAATTAAGCTATTCCCTCACTGAAGTCTGAGGACAAACTACAAAGCAACTTGAAAAGCAACTGAGATTCTTTTTCTATTTTGTTTGCATTAATGTTTAACACATGAAGAGAAAGACCACGACAGATGCATAGAAAAGGCAAATTGGATGAATCAATGCTCTGAAAGTAGAAAGAAATATCCGGAGTGAAGACAAAAGAAAATACTTATGGCATTTCATGGTTTATAGGTCTATTTCTTTGGGCAACTCAGAAGTCTTTACTGCTGCATACAGAAATACACCTTCGAGAAACCTCAGACAGAATTAAATACTTGACAAACTAACACTTCAGAGGATAAGGCAACTGCAATGATCACGATGCAAATAAGACATTTTTCTGCAAAAAATACTTACACATCCACCTAAAAAACTACAAAGACTTCCTGTTGCCAGGAATTGGTATTTCATTATCAAATAAATCAACCCAAAAAACAATTGTGTTTAAGCCAATAAGCATCTTTCCAAGATACACAAGACCCCAAACCACTATACAGCAGCACCTAAAGATTCCCATTTACAGAAACACTGAAACCACATATAACACAGCATTTCTTAAAGCCTTTACTTAAATCCTGTTTATTTGCACTTTCTATGATGGAGCAAATACAGCTCTGGTTTACACTGAGTACTTTTTATTACTTTCACCAACGGCTGCCTTGTGCAGAACAAAACTGAGACAGCTCTAAGATGATAATGTTTAAGATGTTACTTAATAAGTAATTTGAAAGGGTAACATTCGTGTCAAGACAACTGTAGAAAACTCCCAAATGAATTCTTACATTTATATCTCCCTTGTTCTTAACCATAAGAACAAGCTCCAGTAAATAAAAAGGAACATCAAAGAACACTGAATATTTTTAAATGAACCACAGAACTTATTTGTAAAGTTCGCTACATTTTTATATCCCAGCATCACATTTTACATTAAGTCCAGATTGTATAGTCAATTAGGTTTAGATTCTAGAAACTTAGAAATAAAAAGGCAAACAAAAAAGAACACTGGAAAGGTTTTAATTGAACTCAATTAGTGTGCCACATGAATGAATGAACCTACACCTGGAAGAAATTGTGCCTGTGACCAGAATAAAAAGGAAAATAAATATTTTTTCTGAGTTAATCCTCCACCCAACTCAACAGAAGCCTCTCTCTGAGGAAAGTGTATGTCAAAGAATGGTAGATTAAGAATGATGAGTTACCCATATCTTCAGCTTCACATATAGGTATTTTACAGTCCCAAGAATATTCTGATTTGCTTTGCCTTCCCAGAGAAAAGCAAGGTTGGTGAGGGTCCCATAGGAGATGAGGTACCAACATCTGGGACACCAGTCAGCCACCACAGATTTTTGCTGCAGCTTAGAAGAGGAACCTCTTGCCCACAGTTCCACAGAAAATAGGTAAATGCTGGAAGAAACATTTGATCTTTTGCTTCCTACCCCTCTATAAAGTCCAACTAACCAACCCCCCAGTGCTGATTCTTGCTCTGTGTTCCTGACATCCAAACCCACAGTGTTTCCCTCTTTCCCTCCTAACCAAACCAACATCATGGAACTACCAATCCCCCAACCACAGTGCTGCAGACACTGGAATGTTCCTCTCTCCCAGTGCTTTTTGACACACACTGTGAAGTTCCCTACTACTTACAAAACCTGTAGCTCTTTCTGGAATACATGGAATACAACTACTACAGGAACAATATATATGGTTTCATCTTTTTGACTTCTATTACTTCATGTCTCATAGACAAGGATCCTGAAAAAACCTTGAGACCAAGGAATATGAAAAACATTTTCTTGTAAAGAACTAGTCTCCTTCTATTCACATAAAAGTATCAGTTTGTCACAACAACTTAGAGAATTTTTCTTTCATTAAAAGCATAAATACAATGTAAAATGAATATATAAAATTTCAGCCAAGAGACAGCCAGTGCTGCATGAGAAAGCTGAAATCAATCAAACACTGCCAAGAGGACAGAGTACAACTACCAGATGGCAGCACATTCAGTTCTTAAGCAAATCTAGGGAGTACTTCACATGTTTAACACTCTCATTACACACTCAGGATATGCTTTAGATGGAATAATTTATAAAATAAACTTTTTCCATTCATTACACTATAGAGATGAAATATAATGAAAGACCAAATATACCATATCCTTAAGGAAATTGCTTTCTACAGCTTTGCTCCCTGAAAAAAAGATTACCACCAAACTCACATACTCTTTAGAAATTTGGAGCCTTCTAACTGTGTACATACTTCCACCACCAGAACCATCTGACCACACATTCTGAATTTATTTTCTAAGCAGCAAGAGCCCATTTTGGCAGCAACTCTGCTGCTCTGTCTCCTGGTAATCTCTCCTCCACCATGATTTATATGTACACCTGTAGTGTGGCAGGAGAAGGTGCCACACTAAATACTGGCAACTGCTGTTCTTGGAAAATTCCATGTGCATCTTGGTTGGTGAAACCTTAGTAAAGAAAAAAAATGGGGAAAAATAGAAAGAGAGGCTCCAGAATATTGTCCTTGTTGGGAAACAACAGAAAAATACAGTGATGGTGTACTTCTGGTCTCACTGCACTGAAAATAATTATTTTACATACAGGTTGCTTAGGAAGTTAACAGTTTTCCAAGCTCACATTCACTCTGTGGGTAAGTATATTACTATAAACTATTTATGTATCTAATTAAATCACTCATACCTGCATCAAGACAGCCTAAAGACACATACCAATCAATCACCTAATCAGCTCAGCATCCCAGGGTTTTGTAGAGGTATTCTAAAACCCTGTCATGAATCTTCAAGTGTGATTTGTATCATTGCAAATTGCAGGTGCAAAGGTTATTGCATTTATATATACCTGCACACACAGTCCCATCTTCCCTACCAATTCAAACCCAGGGAGAATTCCAGAACTACTGGCTTTATGCAAGAATCCAACCCAAAAAGTGAACTTATCTTCTCATATCAGAGCCAGTTAACTTCCATGAAGATCTATGACCCAAACATTTTAACCAGTATCTTAGCACTGAAGGTTATTTCCAACAAACAGAAAAACCTTATTTTTATGAGGGAACTGGATGGTCCACTGTATGCAAAGAATAGTTTTCCAATGAAAATTTCTGACTGATTCTCCAGACAAGTGTGAAGATTAAAGAAAATAAGTAGAACAGTGACATATACTTCTCCTGCCTCATGAAGTTAAAAGACTGTCTCTGTAGTCTGAAATGAATGACTGAATTATTTGACTTCATATTTCTGCTCACTAAACAGGCTTAGTAAATTTTTCCACTAATTTTCAAATTAGAATTAAGATTCTTCCAAGATGTGTTTCTTCACACGATGAGCACTGGAAAACTGCCCTTCTCCTGCCAAAGGTCATGCACAGACCTTTCACTCACAAAGTCAAATACAGAAGCTCATCCTCAGAAAACCAACAACAATCACTACAAATCAGTATTTGTCACATGTATCACTTCAAACATAGAGGGAAGGACTTCTGCTAAATTTTACAATATCAGTGAAGGCAAATAAATCTGATGATGACAGCTTACATCTCCACAGGAAAAGTGAATTGTAGATAGTCTCCCTGTCCACCATGTTTATGTTTGCTCATTCTGGCAGATGAAATTAACTGTCAAAGATAAAAGTTTATTTTTGAACATTGCAACCACAATGTTTGGTGTGGACAGCAGTTGCTGCCGATGGATGTTTTCAAACACAGCAATGTGCAACACTCTCCACTAATGCTGGACTACGTCTTGCAAAGCAATGTGAATCTGGTTCATTTGAGAATGGAAAGAATGGCTTTCCATTATTAAAACCTGCCATAACATAAAGCCTACCAGTTCATGTTATAATAACTGAATAGCTGCCAAAAAGAGATTCAAACTGGCAACTGAATTGGATTATATTCAGTACTGCAACTGGGCTTTTAAAATTTGCCATCTAAGTCATCCAGCTGTTAGAAGAACTAAAACCTATGAGTCTGAACTACTGCTAAAAAATATTGCAACATTTACAGCAAGTGCCAAAGTTTACAACATTTAGAGAGATCATATAGCAGCTTTATAAATACTAAGAAACATAGCAAGCTGATAAATTATTTCAGATACTTACACAAAATAAATCACCAAAACTACATTTTGCTGGTATTGAGACTGGATCTTGCACTGGGAAGAAAGGACTTCGACTTCAAATACTATAGAAAATAAAGTGAGGAATTACCTATCTTCAAGCAGAAACATCAGCCACCAGCAACTACTCTCAGCCACCGTGACAAGACGCTGGTCAGGTTCAGGAAAAAGTATCCCAGCCACTAACACTTTCTACATGCAGAATACTGCAGGACTTGAATAAACAAATACTCTGCAGACCCTGCCTGGGATTAAAGGGTTTCTGTCTGACTGTGCACAGATACACAACATTAAATCAAGGAAAGGCTGCCTACCCATAGCCAGAACCTTCAAGAGATGTTGTTGGTGTGAAAACTCACATTGCAGGCATACACTGTACTCTCATTTGAGACTGAAGAATTTATTTCCCTTTGAGGCATCCTCCATTGAGTAAGCAGACATGGAGCAAGAAGATATGAAGTCTTTGTAACCAAGAAGAGTCAATTAATTTGTGCAACCTAACCATTAACACCCTTCCTTCCCATTCCTCATTTTAATCTAAAATCACATTATGGGTGAACAGAACATAACCCAATCAGTTCAGGAAAATAGGAAATGATAACTGAACTCTGATGGAGTAATGCTAAAGAAGTCAGAGCCCCAGTAACAGGGTGACCTTCTTAGCTGATGCTATGAACAGTTGTTAGATTATGGATCCTTAAAGAAACCCAAGCATCTGGAAGGTTGTTCTGACGACCAACTAGTATCTCAGAAAGAGAAGAAAAGTTGGGCTGGAAAAAGAAATAATTGCTTAAATTCATATCAAGTAATTAATGAGTCTACAACACAATAACAAAAAAAAAAAATCTCCTCAGTTCATGCAGTTATTTAATCTTCCAGTCTTTCAATCTAGAAGCCATAACGTCTGTGGATGCAGCAGTTACTGCTACAAAAGGATACAGAGGGAATCCACAAATGAGTATTTTCTATCTGCTTCTATATATTCTCACAGCTGCAGCCAGAGACTTCCACTGCAGCCCAGAATATTCCAACAGCCTCTTGAGTGGATAGAAAGAGTTGAGCATCAGCTACTGTGACAATTCTGCCATCACAGAGGTGGCGATACAAGACCTCTGCTTCAAGAGATCTTGGGAAGCCCATTCACTGCCAAAGAACAGGGCTGATGTTGAAACAATCTGTCACAGTATTGCCCAGGAAGGTTGGGCTCCAGAAACTCCTAAACCAGAGGTTGTCTGCCCCTTAAGCTCATGATAACTTGAGGCTCCCAAGCACCAGCCTGGGTTAGGTGCAGCACCAGGTGGTGCAGGTTAGTTCAAGAAGTATAGGAAAGAGCCAAAATGCTGAGATGAAAAGACTGACTGTGACCTTCCACATCCAATTTGTGACAAATGCTGACACCAAGTGATTATGAAGCTGCTTGTGCTGAGAAGGATGACAAGAAAACAAAAAGAAAAGCACAGCTGAACCAGCTAAGATCAGCCTTGATTAGCTGTTTGTGGCATCTGAGGGAAGCCACTGGAACATCCACTGTGCAGGTGCTGGAGATGACACCTCCAGAGTTACCAGTGGAAGAGGAGCTGAAATTGTTCCAGCATCCAGAAAGAGCTGATGGGACACACAGAAATGACTGTGACAGCAATCAGGTGTGAGCTTAGTTCATATGGCAAGGCTATGCAGGATTTTTAAAGCAACATTCAACTAAACAATTTAATCCAACAGAAAATGGTGACTTTTCCAGGCAACTGGTTTTACCAAAAAAAAAAAAAAAAAAAAACACCCAAAACTGGATACCTTTACAGAAAAGTATGCTTCAAATCAAACCACTATTAGTGCACAGCTCTTGTCTTGCAGGCTCAGCCATTTGGTGCTGGTGAGCTAACATTCAGGCAGTCTGAGTGGAACCCAGTCTTGCCTAAACTGGGAGGAAACAAACCCCTGGTGCAAGGGTACTTCCAAACCAGGGCTTGGAGAGCTCATGCAGCCAGAAGCACCAGCAGGTCACGGTGTACAAACCACTTCAAGTCTCTGATTCCACTTTCCTGTCCCAGTCCTCTTTTAAGGAGTTGCTGACAGATAACTGGTAGTCTCTATGTCATGAGCACACCAGTGTCTGCAGGTGAGCTGCATCCACCCTGTGTTTGCCTTGTAAGAAAGACATCCTGTGCCTCCACAGTTTCCATCTGGTGCTCAGAACCACCATTTGCTAGGTGTTATTATGAATTGCATTAACCTCCCATGCCCAAAGAATCACACTAAGATAGAAAAGCAGGCTCCTTTTCTATTTAGTATGTACCCCTTCTTACGATTCTAATACTAGTCTAGTAAAAAATTGAACCAGTTCAAAATCAGGCACTATGACAATCCCTGCATTTAAGAACAAAACTCAAGTCCTAGACCGAAGGTCTTTACCACCCTAGAAAAACAGGAAAGCAAATGTTTCCTTACAAGCTGCTGCCTAATCATTTTGCTATGGTCCTCATAAACAAGTGATATTCTACACTTTTATGAACTCTTATCCCATTATTCTTTCATGGCAAGCACTCAAAATTAACTGTAGCAAAACAGTCACTCTATTAAAGAACAGATTCTTTTTTCACTTGCAATACATTGTGTTCTATTTCAAGCCCAGTTTTCCATCTATAACTTAGTCCTAGTTGTAGCAGAACAAAATTCCAGCTTTTATGACAGAAGACTTTTTTTGATCAATAGAAGTCAGCAGCAAAAGCGTTTGTGGTTTTTCTCTGGAAAGCATTCGTGGCCACAGACTCAAAGAAGGAAGAAAGGGAGGGGGATTAACTCTTCAGTGAAGGTCAAAAACATAATTTAAAAGTGATCCAAGAAGAGCAGCTGTGTCTGTCAGCACAATCAGGATTACCAGCTGGAGAATTTACCAGCAGTATGAAAACAATGCACACCAGATGTCACATGTTGCAACTGCGAGTAGGAAAGCAACTCTGGGCATGGCACTGTCATGTTAATACTCATTACCAGACAGATTTCATATTTAGCACTTATTTATTAATTAGACACTACCAGGAAGAAACAATAACATTTTGAGTTTCACATTGCAAGTCAGAGACAGGTGTGCACACTGGAAACACTTAATATCCTTTATTCTCAGTCATTCTTTCACTGCAAACACAAGACAACAATTTTAAAGCTAACTAGCAAATTCTAGAACATCTGTGGCTGAACTTGCTTTAGTTTCACTCAATCTGAGCTTTTAAGTTCAGTTTGGATTTTTTTTTCAACTAAATCTGAAACAAATATTAAGAACTAAAACCACACTCTCTTCCATGTAGAGCTATCAGGAAAGAATTATACCTAATTTATTCAAAAGTGAGGCAAATTCTTCACTCACACATCTACTAGCACTTCCTTCATCACCTGTTTGTTATCTTGCTTGTCTTTCTGGAACATTCTTGTCTTTTTTTTCCACACATTTTACATCTTGAAGATGAACTCATCCATTCCAGTGCTTGAAACACAGTTTTATACCAGTTTTGCTATGTAAAATATCTGATGTTAATTTTCTTCTTTTGAATATTCTTGTATTACCTTGGTCACATCCCCCTTTGCATTAATGTCCACAGAAACCATTACAGTCTCTGCTTGCAGCTTCTCCCATGCTCATTCCTGTTCTCCAAACATCTCTCCAAAATGCTCCAGTTGCTACACTACATTGTCCTTCTTTTTCTCCCTTCCATGCTCTTTTCCTAAAAATGAATGGCTCATCCATTTGGTTAATCCCTACTCCTTGATCATGATGTGACAGAATTTCCCAGTTTTCACTGTTAAATTCAAATTTAATGTACTATTTACCCCATTAAAAATCAATTATAAAGTCCCAAGAAACTGAACATATGGATGGTTATATTTGAATTATGTATTACAGAGGGTATTCTAGGAACTTGTTTGAAGTTTGTTTTATATCTTCCTTGATGGTGCAACTGCTTTATCCAAAGGAAGACACGCCCACAGAAAAATAAGGTACCAGCATAACTGAATCAAGATTAATAAAGTTATTCAAATTCAAATACTGTCAGCAGAAGGAATGGACACGTGTTTGTGGCACCTTATCCTGACAAGGAATATATACTAGTATAGTGTTGTTAACTGCTGCAATTAAAAAAAAAAATATTAGAAATGCCTAATCAATTGATACATTTAACTGCTTATGCAACGATTACTTCTTCTGTTCTCTTAGAGAAAGAAATTTCTTATATATTTCATTATCATTAATTCAAATTCTCCTTAGCTTCTGCAGTCATCCTACTGTATTACAGCCTATTCCTCATGGCTTACCTTAGCTTTGCCATCCTGTGCAGACATGTATCCAACACACATGCTCTCTGTTGTATGGCTCCACAGAAATTCCACTATAAAGGAAAATGCACAAAGTTACAAAAAGGCCTTGGTTTAAAATACAAGTTGCAATTTAACAAGACTGTGTCTTGAGGAACAAATATAGCAAGGAAAAAAACCAAAGAATAAAAACTACTTACCCGAGCAATTAAATCTCAAAAGAAGCAGCTATCAAACAAACAAGATTTTCCTGAGTATTAGCAGTCAGATACTGCACAACTATCACCCAGAATAAGAATGTTACTTCAATGATATGGAGCCTCCAAGATAAGACATACATCAACACCAACTGCAGTTAAAAACTGGACCAACTTCTAAAGCAGTGGCCTGTTCCACTCATCAGTAAAAGCTGACAGAACTTGTATTTGCCTGCCTTGAAGCCAGAAAAAAGCACCCTGCAACAGCATAAAGCCAGATGGCCTACTATCAACAGGTAAAGGGGGATTTGTGGCTTAGCTGCTCAAGCAGGATACAGGCAAACATGCAGAAATAGTCGTGTCTGCAATATGGGAATTGAAGATATAGATCAGGCAGGAAAGACATCTGGTAAAAGCAAAATTATCCTGCAGAGAAAGGAGGAGAGGTGTATGATGGAAACAGAGTAACATGCACAATAAGAAAGATTTCTGGCAAAATTAGAGAAAGTCCTGGATTCAAAAGTCTGCTGAACTACAACAGTAGATTCAAACACCCCCTTTTTTTGAGGAGAGTGTAAGGAGCACTAAAGGTATGAGAAGAAAGAAAGATGAAGAAGAAACCCCTAGCAAAGCACTCCCAGGTCTGATTACCTGGACTTCCAGCACCAGATACACAACATCAGCTCTCTGGTACTGCACTCACAGCTAATTTAGAATATCAGTGCATGCTGATAGTGATAATGATTAAGAAAACTAGTCACTGCTCACAAGTATTGTTAATACCTGTTAATCCAGTAAGGTGCTGTCCTGAAGTCTGAAAGTGTTGTGATTTATGAACTGTTTAACAGCCTGTTCCAATAATCTTTAATTGCCTAATACATATGCAGGTATCTTTATGTACACAAACACACTCCTACTCAGCTGCAATACAAAATTCAGACAAAGAGCACATTATTCATATGTTCAGCTCTCCGTCAATGGAGTTTTATAAATTGCCACACTGTTTTCTTCCTGCTCTCTGTCATGGTACTTTTTCTTTGTATTCATAAAGTCCATAATTTGGAAGTGGGGGAAGAAAAAAAAAAAGCTGGTCAGAATATAAGGCATTTCACAGAATTCTGTAAAAGGCTTTAAAAAGTGCACTGAAGCACAAATTCTTTCTCTGGATTATGGGAGGTGTCTTACATGAATTACACAAGATGCCTTGAACAGACATTTCCACATATTTCTTTTGAGAGTGACTTTCACATACTGCAAAACAAGCATCACTAGATGGGTTTAAAACCTTTACTCATTCCTATTCCTCACGTTCCTTTAATGTGGCTGGTGAAGGTCACAGCCTGCTGAGCACCTTTATCCTTTGAACCACATCTCCTTGCAAAGCAATTAAACCAGAGCAGGAGATCAAATGTTAGATGATCCCAGCAAGACTTGAAGATTCTGACAGATATGCAGATGCCATCATAAAAGAAAAATGAACTCCATCGAGGTGTGTGCTCTGCTCCTCCATAACAGATTCATGACTGATACCACCAAAGGTGAACCAAAGGCTTTCAGAGTGAAATATATCCAGCACAATGTGTGTTTGAGGCACCCAACTTCTCCATGGCACCCCAAAATGCTTTTTCACTGTCAGTGAAAGTATTTTTAAAGACAAATTTAATCCCATCTTTCAATTTTGAGAAGTTGAGAAACAGTTCAGAACAAATACCCTCAAAATATTGTATCTTTGCCTTTGAAAACTACCAAAAGTAGCCTGTACTAGCACAAACCTCAGCTATTGTTAGCCATTATAGGTAGTGAACTATACTGAAAATTCTAAATTACATGTGAAATATCTTCAGATAAGTACATTTTCAACCATTTAATAAGCCACTTCCTTGCCATTTTTTTCAACATTAAAAAGGAAGAAATAAAGATGCTTCTGGTAACAAAGACATGAGAGTTCTTTATTCTATACACAAAGATTCTCAGTATTAACCAACTTATTTTCAGTACAAACAACACAAATACTACATGTGTTTAATTGTGTATTATCTCTACATTCATTATAAGGTAGGAAATTTCCATGGTAAAAAAAAGTACTGTGTTACAATTAATATCAGTGTTATTTCAGTGGAAAGAAAACCAAAAATCAATGTACAAATAGACTTTACTTATGATGTACAATATATGGGGATTTTATAAATTAATTTTTGAGGAAAAAATGCCAAATCTTCATTAATAGAATAAGTTCTCTTCTATAAATGACAAGCATTACATGAATAGAAAAAATTCTCTCACTTCCAAATCTCGGGAATTGAAGCTTACATTGATCTTGTTTGTTCTTACTTAACCAGACTTATTTTTTCATTTTCTTAACTCTTTTTTTAAGGACAGAATTTATGTTGCAGGATGCTGTTGCAGTAGATAATGTCACAATTGGGTAAATAATAATAAAGCAGAGTACTATACAAAGGAAAAACACTTTAACTCTGGTAACATTAGACAGGTCAATGTGACCCAATATGCACATCTGAGGAGCACCACAGGAAAGGAGATGGCACAAGCGTCATCCTGAAGTAATTAATATACCCCCAATCCCAAATTCCTTCCCTCAGAGAGGCCTTAATGTCTCAGGGTTGTATTTCTACCCTGTTCTGCTCATAGTCTACAGCCTTCAGCTCCCATTTCTCCCACTCAAACCATGTGACAGTTTTCCATAATACACTTTTCTGCCATAAAGCAGCAAGAGAGGGATTGTGTTTCCAGGGCAGAAATAGGGATGAAGGGATGCAAAGCCCTTTTGGAACCAGACAGCTGCTGGTAGAGGCAAAGCCCAGGTGATTTCAGTATGAGCAGCAGAAAGTTCTGTTTGGTGCAAATGCAAATAGTAACTGTGAATTATCTAAACTGATTTTCCTCGCCATTACCAAGAATAAACAACCATAAACAACTTTCCTTACAAATTTTATGTGCATTCTCCAAATTCACACATTTTCTTCTGCAGAAAGGAGGAATAGAGAACTTTTTAGAAAGCATTTTTCACAAACAAGCTACTGAGAAGCAGTAAACAGCTACATGCATTACTGCCAGCTATAAATGCAAATTTTCCTATGAGGAACACATCCCGCCTCGCCACAAGCAACTATTATATCTATGGCATAGGTTTAGAAGGATCCCAAATAATCTTCTGAATGACAATTCTGCTTAGAAATAATGAGTCAGAAAGGATGCTCTTTTCTGGAGTTCTGGAGTTCCCTATTTCACTTTCTAGAATGTTATTATTTCAATGTCAATTCTGTTTTGTTTTCTGTGTGGCTTTCAATCAGGCACAGAGATGTCATTTCGCCCTTTGTTTTGAGTTGGTATCCAGCTGAATTAAAAATGAGTAAGAATTGCTTACCTAGTAAAGTTGGCTTTTCCTGTGAGGATTCAGGCTCGGCTGAGCACCTGCAGGAGCGGAGAACTATCACACCTCCGAGCACACCATCTTCATTGGCTAGAAAAGGTGAGCCTGGGCAAAAGCATTGGGGAGAATTACTTGCAATAGGAATAATTTCTTGGGCATTTTGGTTTTTAATTTGACTTTCTGCCTTTTCCCTTTAATCTTGAAAGACTGACAGATCAAGCAGTGCATGTACAAAAGCATCACTTCTCTTTTTCCTAGTGTTTCAAAAGAATAATTTTCTAGAATGTTAATCTACTAATTCACCAGCAATCCAAAAAATAAAGAGCTACATGCAAAAAAACAAAAACATTTAAATTTCGTTTGTGAGTGCAAACCTCAAATGTAATTTGGATGGATCAAGGAAAATATAATAATAAAAAATTGAGTGTCAAGTTGAAAAAAAATTGTGACTCAATATTTACCTCTTTTTGTTCTACAGATTATATGAAGACATATCCCAAAAAAAATCAAGCTAATTTGGATCATTTTTACAGTTTATTAATTTTTGCCAATATAAAACCCTTTGTACAGAGGCATTATCAAACTGCTATACTGTCTGCCTTGCTGTTTGATGAATACTAACATAAAAGCCTAAGCACATCCTTTTTACAGTGGCTCCTCTGTTGTTAATTTAAGAAATAAGATACAAAAGTCTTCTATCAGAAGCTGGAAATACTTTAAAGGTAGCTGAACCAAGCCTAAGTATTTTTTCTCCGGTTTGCAATTTGAAATAAGATTCCTATTGCTTTAAATGTGGAAACAATGGTATAATTTACATACAATTTAAAATGTCTTGAGCCACAAAATTAATCAAGAACATTATTCAAGAATGGTGCCTTCTTGCACTTAGGCCCATAGACATCCTACTTACATATATGCATTATACTGTCATTTAAAACTGAACATACAATTGCAACAGCCATTCACTGTAATTCTTTTCAATTCTTTCTTTTAAATAAATGAGTGTACAGACACTGCAATTTTCCAGCCACTAGAACTTTAGAGCAGATCTATTCATCAGCCTCCTTTAACTTGCCCACAGCTATTTGTATGATTAAAATTACTCCTTTAATGCAAATAACAACAAAACAGCCCAATAAAAACCAACTTTGAGGATTACCATAAGGAAAACTAAAAGTTTTATTGCCTTTTCTCTAAACACTAGAGCAACCACCTTGAAAAATGATATAAGGTGGCCACTGCAATAGCAGCCCACGTTGCAGGAAAATAATAAATGCAGTATGCTTAATAAACAGTAGTACCTTATTTGATCTAATGCAAACAGATTATTATCTTTAAAGTGCCACTTGCTTTGTAAAAGAACTATTACTAGTTATACCTGGTAATACACCTCCTGTATTACTCACTGACTGCAACCAAGTCCCTGTGAAACAAGAATCCATGATAAAGTAGTAGATAAAACAGGAACGTATGTTTGGTTAAAATAGAAACACAAGGCTTGGATAGTTGTGAATAGTTTTACCACCCAAGTCAAAATCAGGCACTTCAAAGACAAAACCTGATCTGCAGACCTAATCTTACACTAAACTGCACAAATGATTTAGGCTCTAAGCCATAGTGAAAAGTCTAAGCTCTCTAAGCTGAGGCAAAAAGTCATTGCAAAGAGAGAGAAAAAGTTCTGGTTTCTTTCTAATAAGCAGTTTCTCCTTCCCTTTTAAGAGCTGTGAAAGATTCTTCCAAGGTTCTAGTGAAAAATATTAATTATCTCTTTAATTAGAATGGCTAAAAATGTTCTACTTCATCAGAACACAGCCACCAAACAGTATTCACAGCAGACACATATTCAAGGCCACAGGAAAACACTGGGACTGTAGGAATGCACATACACCAGACAGCAACTACTGATTATAGAGTTGGTTCCACTGAAGTCCTATTCTAGAAATGCTTCCATTAGATAAATCATTTATTTCAGGGAATTTGTTTCTCTCACGCTCTGAAAATAAATAGATGAAAGGGAAGTCTGTAAATAAGCTAATTACATATTTCATCATTTTCCCAGTATTTTTGTTAACTATGCCATCACGACTGATCAAACTGTCAGTAATCTGAGTAACTTGTATATGGTCTTTTGAAATTTCACAAGGCTTAGCAGTGTATTTCTTTCCATGTAGAGACTGCAGCAGAACCCATTCTAACTGCATTCCCATTAAAAAACTTCCATTTTTACAGGAATTTCTTTGCAAGAACAAAATATTAATCTTCTGCGAAACACAGAATTAAAAAAAAAAAAAACAAACAATCAATCAAAGCAAGTGTTTTTTGGAAAAGGGGTTTAAATAAGCAATTTAAAATTTGAGCTTCAAGCGCAAGGATGATGGGAGACATTATCTCTCCTACACACAAAAACATAGCCTTGCTTGCCCTTTTGATCTTCTACACCACTTCATCATCTCCTGCAGAACGAGCATTATTCTGGAATGGTGGGAGAAGTCTGTAAAAGAACATATCCCTTGTTTCCATCTCCAAAAACAAGCAGCAAATGAAGACACAGACACTTCCAAGGGCCACCCTGCTTCCCTGTTTCTGTTGAAGACTGCCATTCCCAGAAACATCAGATGCAAACTGTGTGACTACACCCTCACCCATCCCAGATGCCTTCAGCAGCAAGTTCAGCTAAATCATCTCAGTGCAAAAATCAGCAACAATACAGTGTATGTCTCCAATTCACTGCCTAAATTGTGGAGAATCAACCTCTAAGAAGTGTCAAAAATGAGTTGCCCTCACTAATCATATTACAGTATTCTATGTTACAGTAAATTTGGGCTGTTTCTCTGCTCTTAAAAATCAGACCCTAAGCCAAATTAAATACATGCTGAAAAGCATATTGTTTAAAAGTTACTTATTTTGCAATTAAAGCAATTTTTAAAAAATGTTAGAAGAGGGACTCAAATATAATACCTAGGATCTTTCTAGATATGTGGACCTACTGGTGACAATTACAATTATGCTAAAGAGTATATTTTAACAAACTAGACAGTGCAAATGAGTAGATCTATGGTAAGTAAAATTCCAGACAGCTGAATGCTATGCAGCCATCACTGAATCTGCAAAAATAATGGTACAAAAGCAGTATTATACTTTATTTCTAAAGAGAATCCATGTACCATACACACAAAGTAATTTGACTGTTCTCAAAACACTGTGAATTCAAAGGTTAGGAACATATTTCATCAATTTAGTTCTAAAACTCATTTTTGTTACAGACAACCCATTCAGAAAAAGAATAACAGAGAGCAGACTTTTGTAAAACATAACAATATAGGTAATGACTTTTTTCTTTATACATTTAATTAGTATTTCAAGAGGAGAAAACAAAGTGGAACTAAAATACTACCATGTATATTAAAGGCAGAATGGTTTCTAATTAGAAGGAAAAAGTGATCTGGCTCCCACCTCCTACACCATTTTTGCTCTCTCTGTGCATTTCAGAAAGACAGGTTTTCCTCTACAAATTCAAAATTTAGTTAAAATAAAACCAAAAAATGCCTACTACCCAAAAATATTGTTTTCCACTGCAATAAAATAGAATTGCTGGACAAATCTTTGATCTAATAGCTTGCTAATGACAAAATTACAAAAACCTGGGGCTTTAAATATCATTTTAAGTCTCATGAAGTTCAGTGTTCCTTTCCCAGTTACCCTGGCATACCACTGAGGAATGTGGAATGAAAAATCCAAAGTAAACTCCAACTGCAGCATTAACTAATAATGCTAGCACTGACTGGCCACAGCAGAGAGAAGTGGTGGGACAAAGTTCAACTACTTTGTTATTGCTATGCTACATAGAGAAAGCATTATTACATTTTTATTTATGTGTTTTGCATGTTATTAACCTGTAGTAATGGTCTCTCAAAAACAAGCAAGCAGATCATCACAGCTACTCCACATTCCCTGATCCCATGAAGTTCTGGCAGAGCAGCCAGGGCTGAACATGATGACCCAGGTTCAGCTGCTAATCAGGGACAGAACTGAGAGATTTCACAAGTGCTAAAGCAAATAATGGCCTCAGCATTCAGCCTTGCTCTGGAGCAGCTACAGTTACAAGTGAAGAACACTTTTTTTTCAGCATCTCTTGTAAATTAAAGATCTTGCATGACAAAGATTGTTTCCTGCAGATCATGGGTATGAAGTTGTTCACTTCTGATCCTGTGCCTTTGTTCCCCATTTGTAGTTACTGTATAGAACCATTCTAAGCACAGATTCAACACAAAGCTGTAAATGAAGTGTTTTATTTACACTTACCCAGCTGAGGGATGAACCAGCTGCTCATCAGATGTTCTACATTTACACTCTTCCATAGCAGAGAAACCATTACCAGTTTAGCTGTTTACATCAGCTTTCAAAGGATTAGAACTTGGGTCTGAACACTGACTGTGGTGTGGTGTAACCAATTAAGTGCTTCAGCACCCCCCAATTTTAATAGAGGGCAGTTTAACTATTCTAAACCTTCTTGTGCACTGTGAGAGTGAAATTCTGATTTTTTTCTAGTCTACAGATCACCTTGGCCACTGATCTGTCAGCTTGTGTATAGAATGTGGTGTAAATGAAGCTGTTTGCCACTCTGTTTCTGCTATGTATCCCACTAAACTCCAAATATAACAAGCACTAAATGAAGCCTGCTTTTCATTTTATGCACCATTATTTGGTGAACATTTTAGCACAAGCTGTCTCAAGTCAGAGGAATTTATATTTCATGATACATTAAGTTACAACATCTATACTGAATTTTTAAAGATGCTGCATGAGAAAATAACTGCACTTTAAAACTTTACAGGTAAGATTTTAAGAAATTAAATAACTAAGGATACCACAGACCAATGAGATCCCGATGCTTTTGACACAGAGAAGCACAGGGAGGACCTATACAAAACTTGTGGAACATCACCATGGTGTGTTGATGAAACTTCAGGATCACTTCATTCTCTCTGGAAATATTTTTCTCTGTGTCATGGAGAAGCACAATAATGCTTCATAGTTTGTTTCCTCTGCTAGAAATCCACAAAGGATACTACAAAGCTTAGAGTGATGCAGCACCAAAGGAAACTATAATGTACTATAAAGTAACTATAACTGTGCTATGCCAGTCTTGTTACTGCTGAAGTACAAGGCTTTTTCCTCCCCAGCAAGCATAACTAATCATCAGGAAGTTCATTTTCTATGATTCCTAGCTGTCCAAAGTCCTGATCAGAAAGAGAGGATTTTGACACTAAATTTCTAGAAGATAAAGTGTCAGCATTATTCTTTTGCTTTACCTTTCTGCAGACTTTGCTCAACTGAAGCACAGTTTAAAAATGCAAGAATAGAGAAACATATCTCTGCTAAGGAAAGAACAAATATCAGATTCCAACTATGTCTTTCAGCTCATTATTTTATAGTATTTCATAAGAAGTTCTAAAGTACCATTGGTAATGCTGCCATTTTTAAAAGCCCAGATTTCCTGCCAATGAGATGACACAAATATTTACTCTAAGTCTGCATTAGAGTCTACAAACACAAACTTGGCTGCATTTGAAAGGAATGATGAGTAACAAAATCCTCCTTTCTTCTCTTTGGAAGGTACTTGTGTTTACAGAACACCATTCTTTAACTGTGAACCAAGCCTTCTGCTCTCTGACTAAAGATATGGCGCTCATTCCACTTACAAAAAGTCTATATTTAATTTCTCTCACCTCTGATCCAACCATCACTTGTGCACTCTCCACAGTAAGCTGGCGCTGAGAAAGGATGAGAGAAGCACATCTGACATCAGTTTGTTCATCACCTGCTGTTTAAACAGCACTCACTGTCTAAGCCAGGCATTCCCTAGCTGGAAGGAATCCCAGGACTCTGCAGAGACTCAGAGTCCTGTAAACAGGAAGCACCAATCTGATGGCAACTGCCAAAATCAGCTGTTCATTCCTCTGATACAAGTAACACACATTTTGACTTCTGATAAAACATTCTAGCTGAGTTTTGTTAAAGGCTGGGTTTTTTTCCAATGCCTTGATCCATTATAATTCTGGTGACAGTTTGAAAGACCACAAAGCAGGGCTCTAAGGAAGGCAAGGGAAGCATCCATGCCATCAGCAAGAAATCTATTACCCCATTTTCTCCTGATGTTTCACAATAAGAAATTCTGCACCATACCACACATCCTGTGCTATCAACTAACACATCACTTATGAAAAGTCACAGCAAAAAAACCTATTTAGTATAAACCTACCATTTTTAAGTGTGATGAATGTTTTTAACTGTTGCACTGTATTTGCCACGTGTAACTTTGCATTCCATCTACAGAATTGCCAAGATCACCAGAATTTCTCCACCAGCTACAAACTCAATACTACATCACATGTAACCAGCAGATGTGTCTGGATTTTGATGTTTTCCTCGATCAGTCTTCATTCACAGGACAGCTGAGCACAAACTAGATTTTATGTTTTCTAATCCAAGCACTTCACCTACACAAAAAACAAAGGTGGCAGTATCTTTTTTTCCCCACATCAGCACTGCCCTGAGTATAACTGAGCAGATACTACACAGTCTTGCTGTCAGGCAGCAGAAGCTGTAGTGATAAGTTTCTGAAAATACAAGCCAGACCTGTCCTGAATTAAAACTTTAAAAAGAAATTACAAAGCATTTATATTAATGTAATATAAACTTTTTTTTTTTCAAATTTTCTTTTCATGGAGAGCATTAATTTAATCCTGTCTCTCACTCTTTTCTTTCTGCTGTTTAGCTGGGTTTAGTGTTTTCCCAGTGCAATAACACATCACACTGATATCCTGGTACCTCTGTCTGTGCAGCTCCTCTTGCTCTGCAATTGATAGTTCAGGTGTAACAAATTCTTCAGCAACATTTAATATGCTTTTATCTCTAACAGAAACATTTCACATTTCCACTAAAGAACACAATGCATGTATCACATAGGAGCCAGTTAACATTTAATATGCAAAGTGGTGGCAAAATACGTTTGCATTAAACAAGCAAAATGAGAATTGCATTTTTTGGTAACCATTACCAAACCTAACAAAGAAAACCCATAAAACTCAAAGCAACTCAAAGAAGGCACCTTTAACTAAAACAATTTAAATTTTGGGCTTTTACCAGCCAGTCTCTATGAATTACTTCATCAGTAGCTTTCCATCTTGTATGTGTACATGCAGTAATATGACATCACAGAAGGCTACATAAAATTTGGGCTTGCATTTAGCACTCTTAGAACAAATAGCAGAATAAATTTTAAGAGCATGGACTAAAGATCTGACTTTCCTAAAATTAGGCCACTTCCATACAACATCTGCAAAGCAGGTTACAAATTAGCAAAGCTATCACAAGCATCCTTCCTAAAGGCTTCTTTTGGGTACACAAACTCCTAACTTTGTGCCACTATGCACTGGAATGAGTGATTAAATATAAAATGCTGCTTGGATTAGAATCTTTTTGGGGAACACACGGAGTGTTCTGCACTCTGACAACACCTAGAAATGACCACAGTACAGCAGCAGATTATCAAGTGCATCTTCCAATGAGAAGGTGAGTTCCCTTCAAAAAGTCAAATGTCAGAAGCAGAATCTAACGTGGATTCAAAAAATTTTAAAAAAATCAAGAAGTTGCTTGCCAAGACCAGGGGCATTAGTCCCTGGGACCCCAAAAGTTGTGTATATGCCCCTTTTTCAGTTCTATTTAAAGTATCACAAAACAAGCTTTGGAAACACAGTGTACAAGTATTATGTTGTCTATAAGAAATTTTCAAGATGAAAATTGTCTGTGGATTCTAAAGCTTGAAAAATTTTAAGGAGTTATGAAAACATTGCAAGTCAACATATATGCTAGAAGCCTCACTGGAATTTTCAAAAGGACAAGAATTTGTGGTTATTTTAAAAATCCACTTTCATATTTTGCTTATGATTTGAGGAAGGTAAACAAGACCTATATTCATAAGAAATTGAAGATATATTACACAATTTTCTTAAATCAAATTAATTTTTTTAAACAAAGTATATTTCACTTTTTTAAGAATATAATTTTATTATGTAAATAGCAAACCAGAATCTGTCTGTCCAAAGCATTTAATTAGAACATGAAATGATTTTGAGGTCAACTATTTTTAAAAGGGTTAACATGATGAATAATTTTTACTAATGGTCCTAACCCATCAATTCTAAAACATGCAATTGTACACCACAGCCCATGATTCAGACAGGAAATTCTTTCTTCAAACCTCTCTGGGTATTCTATGACTCACATAACAATTGAGGTATTTCCAAGGGTTTGCCTTTAAATTTCGTAATATATTCTTCTGTAGTTTAACATTTTTCAGATGTAACACAAGACTAAATCGGAAGCCAAGTGCAACACAAAGCTTCAACAGAAATCACAAGAATAAGTATCTTTGATAGAGTTACTTGCATTTAGGCAATTTGGGCCATGTACTTACCAATAAACTTGTTTTGCATAGTCTCTAGGAGAGCTTGGTGGGCATCCTCTGTTTGCAAAGCACAGGAACATTCTCTGGCCAGTATGGTCCGGACAAGGTGCTCTCCACAACCTAAAGAAATATTAAGATTGGGAATAGTCAAAATACAGATATCACTTTGAAGAAACCCGGTAATTAATTTATATAATCACGGTAATTTGGCTGTGATGATGCAAAATAATGACACTTTCTTCATAGTGATGTAAATGACAAGTTTCTGCCACACATTTTTATTTTTTAAAAAGGTTGACATGAAGTCACTCAAAAATTCAATTAAGTCAGTGGTTTTCTCACAACTTTCTTGAAATTTCGACTCCACAAAGCCATAAACCAAACAAAAATTAAGTGCAGAAAGAAGAAGCAAGCAACACTGTCTCTAAGTTAGCATCTTTATCCAGATAGAATCCTCTTACTAATCACTCTCTCGGGAAAGATCCTTGCATGCAACATTTCAAACCAAGAACAACTTCAGTGACACAGTAACTCCTTTTGCATGACAGAATCTTCTGTGTAGTCCATCTGATTCAGCCTTTTTGCAACAAAGGAATACATGATTCAGCCATGCTTTTTTGCCAGAGTGGCTGGTCACCCTAATACAAATTCCTGTAATTTTTAAAGGTTTCTCCTTAAGAAACTAAAAATCTTCTAGAAAGAATCACTTACTGCCTCAGTGCTTTCTGTACCTATCCCCTGAAACCTATTTTTGGTGAAGACAAGCAGACTGCATTAGACACCAGAATACACAGAAAGAAGTCAGATACAATCCATTCACAATTATATATAAATATTTCTAGCATATTTCTCATTAAATACAACAAGATGATGCAAGCACTGGAATCATAAATAAAAAAATCTTCTATAATAGAGTTTGACTTATTAGCTCAGGTACGGAATATATAAATACATAAACACACAGCCTCAAGAAACAAATTTATGGTCGGGAACAATCTAGTTGCTTCCAAGTGGCAGGGAGGTGGAGCTGGTAAGACATCAGACCTAGGCTGGCTTCAGACAAAGGCAGTTCAGTCTCCAGGGGTAATTCACACTTTACTGGAAGCACTAACAAGCCCAGAACAGAGATACTGGCTGAAGCCAGCCTAGATGTGGCACAAAGAAAAATTTAATGATTAAACCCAACCTAAAGTGGCTCCAGTGCAGCCTGCTGAGTCTCTCATCACTGTGCATATGCTGAGTTTAGAGCATTGACTGGTGTGGGTACAACAGGGCACAAACACTGTGTATTGCAACAACTCACAGACTGGTTTCCAGTTCTTCTCACCATTTTAAACCCTAACATGGCAACCTACTCAAAGAATCTCCTTCTCTGGCTACTTGACACACAATTATACCCTTCCCCTCAAATGCACAGTGAGTTTCCACTGTTCTTCAAAGATTGCTAATAGAGAAGGAAAAAAAAATTACCCCCCTCATTTTCAAAATTAAAACCCCCTACCCCCCCCAAAAAAACCCCCAAAAACAACAAACAACACCCTCTGGAGCACTATGGATGCACTAGATGTCAGAGAATCAGCCCAGAGATCAGATTGCTGAAAAATTGTGTACACATGTCCCAAAATCCTGCTATGTCCAATCTTTACAAAAATAACAACTTGGTCTTCAGTTATGCATCCCTGCCAATGGGAAGTGTCTCCTGATCAATACAATTCAGCTAAACTGAGTTGTTCCAAGCGAGACACTTAGGCATTGAATCTACATACAATTAGCACAACAGAAACACAAAAAAAACTTTGTATAGCAAACAGACTGAGTAAAATCCAGTAACAAATTTAGAGGAGAATGAAAGAGCAAAAATACTACAACAGTTACACAGACAAGGGAAGTCATTCTTGAGAGCACAAGGGGAAAAGTGCTTAAATCGAGACTGTCAAGCTCTCAAGTTAATGAGAGAAGTGTCCTGCTTAGGAGAAAATCTTCAGGAGGCTCATGCAATACAGCAACTGCTCTCAGGAGATCTGTCTATTCATTTGCCTCATTATACTCACACTCTGAAGCTTCTGTCCACAATAGAACTGTGAGTTATCTACTATTTATTCCAAAGTGATAGATGAAGAGTATGAAAAAACCCTACAAGATATATTTTACCCATAGATCACAACATGGACATAATTTTTTTTAAAATAGGAAACTTTAATAACTATGAAGCTTTGCTGTAAAGAATAAAACTAAACAGGCATATGCTCTGGCAAAAACTGAGAAGGCTAGTTTTTTCTTAAAAAACCCATTAGTACCTTTAAAATATAACATGTAACACATTTAAATATAACTATATGAATAAGAAGCAGGGGATTTAGAAGGGGAATCAAACAAATGAGACACAGAAATCAGTGAGCCTATGTATGTTCAATGCATCAAGTAATAAAAACAGATGTTACTACTTCACAATTTTCAAGTATTTCCTAAACTGGAATTTTAAAAAATGGCCATTTTTTAGCATGACATATAATATTATTTCCCCCACCACCCACCCCGAGAGAATTACTTTATTGAAGAGTTCCCATAATATCAAGTCTGCTTCAAAAAAAATTCAGACAGAGAAAACTTAATATGGGTTAAGAACAGTTGCAGCCCATGTCCCCATCCAGGATCAACCACAAGGAAAGCAGCTTTGAAATTCTACTAACACATCACACATCTCTACATCCCCACAGATAAAGTCATTTCTTTTTGTCATATTTATGTCAACCTATAAGGCAACAGACTTACAGACTGCTGCTGGCAGCATATGTAAAAATCTTTCAGCACATCGCTTGCTGCCAGTCTGCAGGGACAGATAACTAAGGAAAACAATTCCCACATTTGCAAAAGAAAAATTTGTTACTGTAGTTTTTGATGTAGGAACATCTATTTTTGAGGAAGGAAAAAAAAAACCCTACTAAGCAGTGTGTCACATACTTTGACCAGATACAGGCTGAGAAAAAGAATTACACTTTCTGTTATCTCAAGTCAGAACCACATTTCTTGCAGGTTTAGCAGATCTGTATGTCTGTATAGCCTTGAACTGTAGATAATACTAGGACTAGGCACAAAATTAACATATACATTACTAGAGCAATCAAAACTGATTTATGACTTACAATATAAATTTGTGGGTTCAAATTTATAGATCCAGTCACTTTAGTCTAACTGCCAGCAGTAGCCAACTTCCAAAAAAGTTGTATTAACGTGACTCAAGACAGTAATTCCAGTGAAAACTACTCAAACACATTTCCAAATCATGCAGACAAGTCGATGAAAATGTAATTCTGATTAATTTGCTTAACTATCTCACATCATACTACATTTAATTGCAAGTGTTAATACATTTGGCATTTCTTTCACTGAATAGTACTACCAAGTACAACCAAACCAAGAGGGACTCTCACTAAGAGTTTTTCAATTCTACACTGAAGTCTCAAATACATTGTTTTAGTAACTTTCCTGTAAACAGAGTTAAAATCATTTTACTAACCTTTCCCAATTATGATGACTTCTTCAGTATTCTGAAGCTCATTATATTTCAGAGATGAATATTTTGCAATGACAGACAAATGCTTCCCTAAGATTTCACACATGAGTGACTCAAATGCAGACGACTAGCTGGAAAAATTTACTGGGTTAAATTAGAGCTTCACATTGAAATAACTTTCATATAGTAAACAAATTATTTTCCTAACACAGTAATATTCTGCAAACACCATGCTGCCTACTTGTAACTCCTCTGCTGTCAAAAAAACTACAGTTGGAGCTGCTGTCGTCAATGTTTGCAGGACTAAGTACAATTAACTGCCTTCCTCTAGGATTGCTTCTGGCAAAGGCAAAAACATTTCTACAGAAAACAAAGAGTTCATAGAAAATATTTAGATAAATCATGCCTGAAATATTTGGTGACCTTCTACAACGAGGTTACAGGAGGGTAAGAGAAGAGCAAGTGGTGCCACCCTCACAGCCCAGAGAACCAACCACATCCCAGGCCACATCCAAAGCCCCATGGGCAGCAGAGGAGGGAGGGATTCTGCCCCACTGCCCAGCCTAAGTGAGAGCCCACCTGCGGTGCTGCATCCAAGACAAGAGCCTATAGTAACAGGACAAGGGGGAATGTCTTTACAATGAAGGAGAGTAGATTTAGATTAAATACCAAGAAGAAATTCTTTACTATGAGCGTGGTGAGATATTGGAGCTGGTTGCCCAGGGAAGTTCTGAATGTGTCATCCCTGGAAGTGTTCATGGCCAAGCTCGATGGAGCTCTGAGCAACTAGCTCCAGTGGAAGGTGTTCCTGCCCATGGCAGGAACTTTAAGGTCTGATCTTTAGGGTCCCTCCCAACCCAAGCCACTCAAAGATCCTACAAAAAAATAAATAGAAATGAACATATTTTGATGCAAGTTTCTAGCTTCCTAGATTAAGGGGAGAGAATATACAAATGCCTAAAGGCTCCAGGCACTGATAGCAACAGATTCCTATGACAAGGGAAGGAGAGAAGAATGAGGCTTAATAGTCACAACACCATTACTTTGTAAATGAACTACAAACCCAAATGAAATTCTAAAGGATCCCAGAAAACCTGTCTTCAACCAGAAGCTTCTATTCCTGTCTGAAAATGACTTGAAGATCATATACAAAATCACTTTAAGATCATACAGAAAGACCAACACTGATTTTCAGAGACATGTATCTTGGATCATGCCACAATACAGTTTTGATGTAGTGCTTCTTTCAAAGTGCCAGGCAGACCAACAGTGAAACAGAACTTCCCTTTTCTGTGGGTATTGAAAAGTGTAATTTCTGATAATAATATACATTCACCTCCAATTCAAATATTCCTCATTGATTACTGCAAGAATTACACAAGAACAGTCTAGGTATCTACAACTTTTCTTTTAATAGTCTCTTTTTCTTATGTTATCCTACTATAATTTAGCTGTTCTGGATGTATTAGAAATTCCCTCAAGTTACTACTTCAGCAGTAATTTTGCTAGTTAGCTTAGGCACAACTTCCATAACAACCATGTTACTAGGGGGAAGGAGGAGTTGCGATGTTTTTGTTTTATTTTTTAAGATTGTTAACATCTTCAA